TCAAGATGTGCCGTGTGCATCGCAGACCATCAAGGTACTTTGATGCGCCCTTGGCTGTAAGGCGTCCCGCCCAGCTTCCGGCATGGGGGGGAGAGGGTTTCCAGGCCGTGGCCTAGACTGCACACCGAAAACTCCGGCTCGCTACCACCCGCATTCGCGTATCCGTACGTAGCAATGCGGGTGGGTGTATAATGATACCAATTACGGCCTCTCGCTGTAACGGCAGAGGTAGATGCACCGAGGCATTGAAGGTGGGCCTGGCGGTTGTTGCCGGTGGTGTATGCAGGTCGTTCACGCGATGAAACGCGGCCGAGGATGGAGTTAATTTGTCTGTTGATTACCGTCTCGGGTGATGGACCCGACTTTGACAGTGCGGCTTGCAATCTTTAGGCTTCGAGGAACCTTTAACTTCCGATTTGGTGGCCTGTAAATGGTGTTAACTATTCCTGAAGCTAAGATATCTATTGCGTTAATGTTGAATTGCATTGGAAGGTGCTGCGGCTGTTGATTAGGTCGGGTGTTTTACCGGGAACTTTGCTCGAGAGCCAAAACAACAACTCCCCTTTCTTGGCGCGAAAGGCAATTGATGCCACCGCAAGGTTTAGTTCGGGGATTTAGAGCAATTGCTTCGGACCGACTGTTACCACGCTTGTCGGACATAGTAACAGAAGAAGGATTGCCGACATGATGTCAGCACCCTAGAGAGATTCTCGACGCCTTCATGTCTTTTATTTCCACTGCCATCAGTTCGCTGAGACCCATGGTATAACCGAAGCGTATCCCCTCAATACCTATCCTACCAATTACCCCTATGGCGGTGCCCTAAAATAGACTTCGAATTTTGGCTCTCCTGGTTATCATTCAGACTCTGAAGTCCTGAAAGTACGGATAAGATAAGCGTCTGTTTGGTCTTGCCCGTTTAGCAGCTACCCAAACTCATTGAGAAAGCAATCCAACTGCCCTGGCCTTTTTTTGATGTTTCACACCAAGCATTGCCTATCGCATTTATTCCTCGAGGCCGAAAACCCTCTTCCTCTTTCTAGAATGCCGCAAATACACATCGTCAATTGCTCCCGCGATTGGCTCCCTTTCATGAGAACCGGGTCAGGAAAGGTGCCGAGTCTTGCCAGTTGAACCAGTGTCATTGTAAACATTGTATTCGTAACGGAATGTTGTTCCACTGGGCTAAAACGAACCGTGCCGAACCGTGCGTTATTTACAAATGGGCACGGTGCGGGGGGCCGGGACCTTCACCCTAACTGCGGCGCCGGGGCACTGTTCGCACTGTGATACCCTGTTCGGGGCATTCATTTCCCGGATTCTCAACGCCATGGCCGGATCTGACGAGTCGCCAATTTCAGTGCGTTCAGATTTCATCTTGCCGTTCACTCGTGCGTTCACGACACATCGCGAATTCGCCCTAATATCCGCATTTCTTTGAACGGTACCTTTTCTTTCGTTATAGGGCTCTCATTTACGATATTTGGGGACCGTGTGCCGCCTTCCGTTCTGAAATTGGCGTGAGCGAAAACCTCAACGCGAACTGCGAACTGTGAGGACTGCAACACGACAATTAGAGACCATTACCACCAAGAACTTAAGGTCCCTTGTATAGAATATCAGCCATTTCTTCTCAATCAATTGGTAAGATTATGCTATTCCATCAATCTGATCCCCTACATTTCACCGAATTCTGTCAGACCTGGTCGTCCGAAGAAGCATAGTTCCGCCAACAAGCTTTTCATCATTATATTCATCGCTTTGTTGCACGTCCCTCATTCTTCACGTCGAATTGTATGTCAACCACGACGTTTCCAGAGCTTACATGTAAATAGGCAAGATGTCTGATGAGGCGACGCATCAAGCAAACGGGCAGACCGACGCCAACGTAGCCAGCAAGACCGACAAGCTTGACGATGCTGGCGCTGAAGTCCCTAGCACCGTGGAGCCATCTCAACCTTTCTCTTGGCTGTAAGTCCGACTCTGTCTGTTGCACATTGATGAAAACTCACAACAACAGACAACCTCATCCCATTTTCGTCATTGCCCTAGTTGGCCCGGACGAGACGCCTTTCGGCATTCAGAAGGACTTTTTGTGTTCCAGATCGACATTTTACAAGAAGCACTTCGACGAAACCCCAGACGAAGGGCTAGAGAACCTCGTGAGACTACCGAATACGTCTGTCGAGGTTTTCGCCTACGCGCAGAACTTCCTCTACACCGGAACCGTGTTTCCGGCGCTCGATAAGCTCCCTAGTTACGATATCCTCATCGGCGTCTGGAAGCTGGGGCACGATCTGGGAATTGACGGTCTCTGCGATGCAGCACTTGAGGCTATGATTGAGTGCCGCCGCGTGACCCAACACATTCCCGCCACTCCGCTGCTAGTACAGGTCTGGAAGGAGACACCAGAAGGCTCGTCCATCCGCAGGCTTCTCCTCACATGGACGGCAGAGTACATGAGGTCCAGCGAGACGCGAGCCGAGTTTGCTCGATCGCTGCCACAGGAGGTGCTGAGCGAGCTGGTTGTGGCCATGAGCTCACTAAACCTGCCGCCGCTTCAGCTCGACGGGGATTCTACCGTTCCTACTTCTCAGCGTCGCTCCGTGCCGCATGATTTGGCCGAGCCCGACCGTCCCGCGAAGAAGCGCCGCACGTCCGAGGCTGGTATCAGCACCGGTGGCGTCGTTGCACCTATTGGCCAACTTGGTAGGAAGCCGGGGCCGAGGGCATCGTTGCCGGGATCCAAGCCGGGGCCGAAGCCCGGGTCTAAGCGCCGGGCTAGCGCAGCTCTGAGTGCCGCGCAAAACTTTTCTGCCAACCAGAAACTTAACTTTTGTGCTGATCTCCTTTCGAGGATGCTCTCAGGCCCAGGTATTTTCTCCCTCTACCTTCCCCAGAGTTCACGAATAAGGAATAGAAAGCTAACCCGCAATTTCCTCGATACAGGCTTCTGGACGCGGGTCGTTGGCCCCTTCAAAGACCCCGTTGATCCGGAGCGCGACGGCGTGCCTGACTATTTGAACGTGGTCAAGAAGCCAATGGACCTGATGACGATGAAGGCTAAGATGGACGGTCGTGAGTACACTGACGAGAACGAGTTCCTGGCCGACATGAACCAGATCTTCACCAACTGCTACACGTACTGGCGCGAGCAGGACCCCATGTGGACGGCGTGCGAGAAGCTGCAGAAATCGTTCGAGGATAAGTTCGGCCAAATGAACAAGTGGATCGCTAAAATGGAGGGCGACGAGGGCCACTGAATTTCATTATATACGGCGAACGGATTGGCTGGCGGTTTTACTTTGCGTTGCGGTATTAGGTGGTATGAGGCCAAGCTTTCACGTGGTATCAGGGACACGCCATCGAGGGGCCCAGGAGTGAAGGGTTTGTAGCATCAACATTGTATACTAGGAGCCGAGTTTGGCACAATAATACCCAAAGGTGGCACTTTCGCTTGAAACCTAGGCGGTAACTACACCACCGCTCTGACGATAATTGTACATGGTCTTACAAGGACCCATGTGAACCATGGGTCGGAAGTAATCGTTGACTGACTAGCTCCACTTGACACCAAACATCTTGAAGCCCTTGGCCAGGGCGTCTTTTGCCTTGGACGCATCTGCATTTTCCAGATATATCCTTTCGTGGCCCTTAATATCGATGAAAAAGTATTTATACTCATACTCGGCGTCACTGGGACGTTTAACTAGGTGTATCCCAACTCGCCCTGTGCCTTTCGGCCCTTGGACCTGATTGGGATGTCAGCCTCTTTTGAACGTTGACTAAATCACAGCCGTGGCCACCACTCACATTGAATTCGATCATCATATGTTCAAGCCCATGCCCATCTTTACTTTTTGTTGACCTGGAAGGCTCATGTGTTAGTCCCACCTATTTTTTTCGCGCCGCTCCCCCGCATGCCGGCGTCATCTGAGGTAGTGAAAACCCACGCAATGGGCCGGGCTCTTTGCCACTTGTTGTTTGTTTCCTCGCCATATGCTGTAATCTTCTTGCCACTGCCTAGCAGCTCGACACAGCGAGGGTCGGTTCGGATGCGATCGACGGCCCGGTTGAAATAGTTCGTCCTGCTTTCCGGGGCAAACACTTCCGAGTACAAAACATAGACCACCCCGCCCTGTCACATTGACGCATCAGTGACTGCCCTAGAAAAAACCCAATCAACTCCGTGTATGGCATACCGTCAATGCCACCCCCAAGATGACCATGCCGAAGTTGAAAGTCTGCTGGGCGGCACGACCCGTTTTCTCGCTCGCGGAGAGTTCGGACCAGGGAACGTTTCCATTATCGTTGAAGGGCGTTACGGACCGACGGCGGGTTTCGGATGTCGTCTGCTGGTGTTGCGTCGCAAAGCCTCGGCAGCTGTGAGCAGGTAAACGAGCAAGCGATCGATAGGGGACCAGCGCGCTAGCTAGGGGGAGCCGTAGTCCCGAGACGGTGACTCGATTCATCATGGCGGCTTGGCGGTACCCATAGCTAGCCAGCTTTCCGCAAGTCGATGTCGTCGAGAAGCGCAGCTCCTAGATTTCTTGAAGGTTGCAGAGCTGGCAAAAAAGCTTCAATGGTGGGTGGAGGTTGCACGCGACAAGGGCGAGCGGTGCCAGCCGGCAGTTTCTCAGGGTGGGGTCTTGAAGGTCGAGTGTGGGGCAAGACTTAGGCCAGATCGGGATTAGTGGGGTATTTTGATGCCACATGGATGGATGGATTCCCGGGAGACCAAAATGTGGCACCTTTCTCCTGAAACGGCGGCGTTCACGATCGCAACCGCACTCCGCCTCGTCTCAGGCTTCCGCTGCTCTTCGACTCACCCTGCCCGCGATCGCCATCCGAACGGCGCGCGCCCGTCCTCCCGCCCTTAGCCGCAACCAGGAACACGAACAAGGATCGCCAAGATGAGTGGCCTCGCATCCAAGCAGCAGTCGCTCAAGATTTTTGAGAAGCTGAAGGCGAAGCAAGCCAACAAGGTTAGCAAGACATCCCCCCTGGTCCTCGTCTCCGGTTCTGCGCTCTCTTGTTTCTGCTGGGCTCGAGGCCACAAATGCACAGCCGACGATAACTAATTGTGGGCTCCATAGGTTTGCTTCGACTGCGGCCAGAAGAACCCAACTTGGACATCGGTCCCCCTCGGCATCTACCTCTGCCTCGACTGCTCCGCGAACCACCGCAACCTTGGCGTCCACATCTCCTTTGTTCGGTCTACTAACCTCGACCGTACGTCCACGCGTTTTCCACAGCCCAGTTTGCGCCCCCTGAGTGCTAGCGGCAAGGGCTAACAACGAACAACAGAATGGCAATGGGATCAGCTGCGGGTGATGAAGGTGGGCGGTAACGAGTCGGCTACCAAGTTTTTCCAGTCCAACGGTGGCTCTGCGGCGCTCAACAGCAAGGACCCGAAGACAAAGTACACCTCTCCCGCAGCCACGAAGTACAAGGAAGAACTAAAGAAGAGGGCGGCCCGGGATGCCAAGGAGTATGTTGGATCCAAGTTCCCCATGTCCGGGGCGCAAGCACTAACGAACCGCTGCCAGATATCCTGAGGAAGTGGTCATCGACGACGGCGCAGTGGGCACCGAGAGCGGGAGCACCCCTGCCGAAGATGAGGATGATTTCTTCTCGTCATGGAGCAGGCCCGCGGTCAAGAAGCTGAGCCCGCCCATCTCGCGAACGGCCACCCCCCCAGTCATCGGCCGTACTCAGTCGCCACTTGCGAACAGCAAGGACAACTCGCGCTCCGCATCACCGCTCGCCAAGACTGCGGACGGCGAAACAGCGAAGCCCGCACCCAGCCGTATCACCACATCGGCCGCTCTTCGCTCCAACACGACGGGTCCGCGCAAAGCCAATATTCTCGGCGCCAAGAAGGCAACTTCGAAGCTGGGCGCCAAGAAGATTACCAGTGACGTCGTGATTGACTTTGACGAAGCCGAGAAGAAGGCAAAGGAGGAAGCCGAGCGGATCGAGAAGCTTGGGTACGACCCCAACGCTGAGGAGGAAGCCCCGGCGGCCAAGTCGTCCGCCAAGGCTGAGACCTCTATCGTCTCACCCACACCCGTCGCCCCTGTGCGTAGCACTGGAAGCTACGGCTCTGCGCAAGCGCGGGAGAAGTCGGCGGCTGAGGTTGAACGTCTCGGCATGGGTGTTGCTCGGTTGGGTTTTGGGCAGGTGGGCAAGCCAGCGGCCGCGGCGAAGAGCGCTGGCGGGTTTGGTTCTGTCGGTCCCATTAAGGCGGCCCCCGAGGGTATGTTTAATCTCAACCTAGATACCCCGATGGTGATCTCACCTCCTCCACCCACCTGCTAACCATTTCTGCCCCTTGTTAGATGACAATGACAACTACGCCCGTTCGAAGTTTGGCACTCAAAAGGCGATTTCCTCGGACGAATTCTTCGGCAGGGGCATGTTCGAGTCGGGCGCCCGGGCCGAGGCCCAATCGCGTCTGCAGGGTTTCGAGGGCGCGCAGTCCATCTCCAGCAACGCCTACTTCGGCCGCCCCGAGGGCGAGGAGGTTGTCACGGAGGACTATGGCGATCTCGAGAGCGCCGCAAAGGACTTTGTCCGTCGCTTTGGCATCACTGCCGCCGACGACCTTGAGAACCTTTCCCATCTGCTGGGCGAGGGCGCTGGTCGGCTGCAAGGAGCTGTCCGGGCGTACTTGGGGAACTAGCGGCCAGAGGCTTAGGTGGACAAGCGAATAAGACGGGTAAAAGGGTGGGGGATAGGGGGAGCTGGATCGGCGCTAAGAGGGTAGACAAATATGGGAGAAGGATGGGCGGGTATGTCGGTGTTGCTTTAGGCGGTACACTCGCCACAAGCGGGTGCTTCATGACAAGTTAATGAGAATATTTGGGAGTCGAGTTTGGTGGCTGGCATGTTATAAGTGACTATTTGTTATAGAAACAATTTTGTTCTTCGTTCACTACGAGTTGATTTGTCGGTGGCAGAGAGTAGCTGATGGTCAATCTCCTCCATGCCCGAAGTCCCGTCCCCAAACTCGTCCATATCTACGACCGTACGGCTCACAGTCATCTACCTGCCCAACGCGAAGAGATACCGTAGAGCAACTTACTCTCGACATTGAGTGCTTGTCATGTTGGTAGCTAAGCCGAAGGTGATCTCCCCATGTTGAACATACACCCCCAAGAATCCGTCCCTTCTGACTAGCTACTCTTTCCCATTTCATAGTTGAGAGAAATGTTACTGACAAAGAAGATCCTCTTGGTGGTTATGAGTTTGTTCTGGGCCCAGACAACGTGCCCCGGAGGGCAGATGCCACTCCTGTCTCTGGCCGCCAAGTTGTTCTCGGTTCACCGTGGTCCAGCAGAACAGTTGACGGAACCTTGTGGGCTCCGAATAGCCTTTTCACCTTTCAACGCACCAAGCCGGCTTAATCAGCGGCTTTCTGGTCGGTTTCTTGACTTGGGAATGACTAGGTAGGAGACACAATTTGCCCCCCTTCGTCACCCCTCTACCCAATTGACCACGGAGCTGTTCGCAGCGGTGTCATCTGTCAGGATCTGTGACAGCGCGGACCGTGGAACCGGGCTTGTTGTCTCCCAACCCTCACACCACTCCCGTGGTACTCGGATTCTATTCTACCAAAGTTGGAAATATAACACCCACTCCAAAGTGCTCGGTATAAATGGAAGGAGGGACCTGTCTGTCTCCATCGAGATCCTCGAGCCGTGGCACTATCCTTCGACGCAGGTGCGATGGGTTATCTTTGCATATCATGGTCCGTATCATCTGTTAGTGGAGGGCAAATTTTTGTATATAAAAATCATCCTCTCGACTACAGCCTTTAACAGGAGGTTCCAGAGGTACAATTCTCGGTTTGTGGTTCTTGCCCAAGGTTCGCTTTTCGTGGCGTTCGACAGAGTCGGGTCCGAGTTTTGCTTGTTCATCACCTCATGGCTTACCTTCTCCCGTCTTGCGTATTGAAACAACAGTTCCGGTCGGAGAAATTCGGCCTTGTGCTGCATTTCTTTGTTCACCACACCCTCTGAACAATCATCATTGATCCATGACAACTCAAAAAGAGTGTATGACAAAAGACAATCGTCTCTTGCCATAGGGAATGGTACCCCTATGAACAGTGTGACAAAGTAGAAGTCAATAAATAAAAAAGGAAAACACAAAAAGCTCACTCACCAAGCGCCTATCCCCATCCGGAGGGATAGCTGTTGGTGGTTACGAAAATCTTTCCGGTGAAAGATTTTTCTTCGCTGGCCCCGGGAATCGAACCCGGGACCACTTCGATTTACGACGGAAGTGGCGTGGTGCCCCCCCCCAATACCGTTGGGCCAAACACCGCTGTTTGGCGCATTGGGAGGAGCCGATGACTGGGACTCCGAGAAGGGGGGTTATATGATGCGGTGTTGGTTGAGGAAGGAAGGTGCGATATTGGTGGTGGGTGATGGGCGTGTTGGGGAAAAAATTGAGAGGCCTGCCTTCTCCCATCTTCAACGTTTCCTCGGGGCACAACGTTCGACATCTGCCTGCCTGACACAGTAGGTATAAGCATGTACATCCATGAACACTTCAGGAGGACCTGAAATCTCTACCACTGCCGCAATGCCTTGGGGGAATGCCCCGAGAGCTCCCTAAACTACGAGTGCTGCAACTGAAACCCCTTTTCATAACCAACCTTGTGCATCTGGAGGCAAGTCCAGGTTGATGCAGTGGTTGCGCCTTCTCCCTCGGCGACGCTATGCATACTCCCACTGCCTTGACGAGTTATGTCAAAAGCTAATGGCGTTGACGAGCCGCAATTCCGATCCTGGGGAGGTGAGCGAGGGGGCGAGGGGGGGTGCGATCTCACATCATCCATCTCTTGGCAACGAATATTTGTTTGCACTCCGATGTTGTTAGCACGGGCCCAGGCCTTTTCCTCGACTGACTCATTCAGACGTGGTGTGGTCGGGGGCGTTGTATGACGATGTGTAATATCTCACATGTAGACGTGTAGAGGGACCGACATACATGTACATGCATCCTGCATCGACATGCACAGAGGCATCGAGCTTCTGGGCCAAGCCATCATTTAGCACTGTTTACTCGCCCACCACCGGAGAAACCGTTACGGCCTACAACCCAACAGGATCTTCACTTCGCAATGGTGCCGCTTCGATGAGGCTAATACTAGTATCACTTATTTTACTGTTACCGACCAACCATGGTGAATAGGTGCAAAGGGGGACCATCAGAAACAAGAGCCTCGAGTGGTAAAGTACATACGAAAACTAGCAGAGTCCTCAGGTCCCGTGGCTCGTTTACCGAAAAAAGATACTAAGCAAACCGAAAGGAGCAAGGGAGACATAATACACGTGGAAAAGAAGAAAACGCGGGATGGAGGACAGGAGGAAACGGAGAAAGTTGCCAAAATGGGGGTGCGTTAGCTGCACTGACGTGCCGGCCGAGAAGCTTCGGGGGCAAGTTCAGTCATGTTTTATGAGCGTGGAAACGCCATTCAGACGCCATGGCGGTGGGAAGCAACGGGTTCAGACAGGAAAAAGACATCATATTTCATGTCGCCTTAGTCCTGCTTTCGTCTCTTTCTCGACATACATATGACACAGTCCCATGCAGTCGGCAATGGCGGCATCGAGTCCAAAGTTTGGGAATAGTGGCCCGTCTCAGCAGAGGCAAACCGCCTTCTGTGATAGAAGCGACAGAAGTATCAAAAAGAGAGAAGAGGGGAAATAAACATGGCAAAAGTGAGAAGATGTTGATCTTCGAAATCACAGCGCGGAAGTCCCCCGCCTGCAACTAGTCTCAACCTCTGACCTGGGATGCTCACGGCGCCATTCTATGCCATTGCCCACGTGTACTGTTCAGACATATGTTTCGGGCACTCGTTCGGACGCCACCTCCCACGCATTCCAGGAATCATGACCCTCGTAACCCCCGCTCCCTGATTCGGAGTTTCTTACCGGCGGCCAACCGACCAACACAGGCTGTTGGTGGCCGTTTTTTTACCTTCGCACTTCAACAACGACAGGACTCGCTAGCCATCTTTTGCAGCGCATCGGGCGCCCCGTCACCCCTGTTTGTAACATGTTCGTTCACTTTCCAACTTCTTTTTGAGCTAACAAGTGGCGCAACATGGATGACCCTCGATCATAGCTGCTCCCCGCACGCCCCTGATGCTGTCGCACCCGACCCAGAGGGATGAAAGTCTTGTGCATGAAGACTAGGGTGAGGATGCCACGTTTTGTTGCTGCAATGCTAACTGCAGGTTTCCCTTCATTCCAACGCATTTCTCCACCGGCCACGATGCGGTCCAGTGAAATGTTTTGAGCTCAACGCCAACTACCCCCTTTAATCTGGAGCGTTTAGATGAGTTGACCCTGCCGATGCTACGTAGCTTACGGGAGAGAAGGAGAAACGGCACTGGAGTCCCGGAGACGGTCAAGGCGGACGATGCGAGGAGTCGGTCTTAATGTCTCCCGTCTGCCGCTAGAAAAGCGTAATGGTATCCGTAGCCGTAAATCGGCGTTGTTTAAGGGGATGCGGGCTAGTTCAGGGGTGTGAACCGCCGGAAATATCCGTTATTCGTACGGATAGAACAGCCCTGTTCTACGACGCTGAGGACGGTGGTTGTTAACAATCGCGTACCCCGAGAGGTTAGTGGTACACGCATCTTGTTTTACTCATCCCAAGTTCGCGTGGGGAAAACCGTCCAAAGTGACTCGACCCAGTTCCCCCACTGAATCACATGTTGTACCTGCTGTGCACACACAATGGGCCACTTTTTCTCGCGAAGGGTTTCGTCCAAACCAACCCCCAACAAACCCGTTGAGGTTCCGGAAACACCCCAATCAGGAGTCCATCGTCCCCCCCATCAATCCCATCTCTGAACATGACACTGGATTAACATTGTCGCAACTCTCAGCCGCAAAAGTGAATCGGCCAATCGACCCAGCCCCGGCTGCAGACTCACACCCCCGTTAAGGCGCACAACCCGATGTGGGAGGGCCTGAAGGGGGGCACTGATACTTGCGCCGAAGCCCCCATGGGCCCTTATTGTGACGCTACCACAAACGGCGATTTTGAAGGGACTTGCCGAAGGATGACGGGTACGTACAGTAGGAAGGTGTGGCGTAAGGATGGTCACTTCGAGAATCCTAAGCCGCGTACACACTGAGAGGTACCAATCCTACGGAGGAGATATCATGTATGTACTGTACAATACAGTGGAGTGTGACGACTCAAGGGAATCGTAGTTGACCGCTGCGGGGCTTTACAACAAATGCACACCCCCCCATCTCATGTTGGCCGGTGTGGAGATTGGGGGTGATTCCATTTTTCCAGGGGCTGACGGAGTTGACGCCGAACTTTAGCGAATGATAACTATCAAAGTGAGCAACCCAATCCCTTTTCAATGGAGGCCGTTAAAAAAATTCATTAGGTTAAAACATGTACAATTCAAGGAACAATCCACTACTCCGCGTGTCAAATTGTCGATAGCACCGTCGTAACAACCCTGTGGAACACGGCCATCCACAAGATCCAAATAAGATGCGGCGGCTTGATCTTGGGTTGAACAAGGCGCGGGTATGCGATGTATTCTGCGATGAGGCTCGGGTGATGGGTGGCACAAGGTGCAGGGTGGCTGCGATGGCGTCAAACATGTATGGAAGGAGACGGAGGATGGCAGCACCCCCTTCGTTGTCCCCCCAGAAAAGCCCATCTTCGCGATCGGCATAGCGCCTCAAACGGGGAGCCGCAGTTGATGGTACCCGGGACGCACAAGCCCCTCCCATTGTGTTGGCCGAGTTGACCGAGCCAGGACGGGAACTCACGTTGGCGAGTTGCCGCTTGCACAAGGCCCCAGGCAACAAGCGTCTTTCGAGAATGTGGTACGCCAGGGGTTTCCCGCTCTGAGACAGATTTTACGTACTGTAGTGCAGTGGACCGTCGATCGAGAGCCGCTGACGGTTCCGATCCGGTTGATCTCATAGGGGAGTTCTGGGCCAAAGACCGACCACAAAAACAGCATGGAATCCAGGCCTTGCATGAAATCATTCCGAACCCCGCCAAGCGCTCCCGTCGTCGTCTTATCCGCCGCTCCTGGCCAACCGTCAGCGCTAGGTTAATTACAGTAAAGCCAGCGGTCAGGCCCGACAACACCCCCGCAAATTCCGGAAAAGCCATTCTGTCGGGGCGATATTCGCCCATCGCGCCCGCGCGCTCTCCCGTTTTCAGAAACAAAAAAGGGCGCTAGCGCCCGAGGGAAGGGCGGATCCGGGAAGAAACGAGCTAACGCTGTGTGACGGCGGGACAAGACGACCGGTGTGGCTTGGCGTTGACGAACAACAATGACAGGCGTCCTGGGTGGGGTCGATATGGGGGGGCGTCCTGGTAAGGATGCCGTTGATCACTGTTTCGTTAGACTGTTTTAGTCCCGAAACCTTATTTGGACAACAGCCAAACATCGTCGACCATGCCGTCTTGCCGCCAGATGCCCCTGTGCCTCCCGATCACTCTTTGCAATCCGAGCGCGCCGCGCACCAATGCCCTGCTCACAGCAGGACGGGGGTTGGGCCTAGAAGGGGCGGAATTTGCAACTGCTGCCGGTCGCTCTCGCTTGTGCTAGCCCCCCCCGCATTTTGTTGCTTTGTCCCGTTACGGATAGAATTCGCTCGATGACGAGTACGAACTCGTTTCAAGATCGCCTAGGCTCAAAAGGAAGCCTACAGAGATCAGATCTTCCGAAAGACAAACGCCGCCCGGTAGATCGCTGCTGTGTTTCCCAAAACAGCATCAAGACAGGGTTGACTCAAGCCTCCCGGTTCCCGGTTTCCTGGGCTCCCGTCAGAGATGGGCGCGCGGGCGGAAGCTGCGGGCTACGAGCTGCGAGCTGCGAGAAACGGCGCTTCACCACCGGGATTAATGAGTACCCAAACACACCACGAGATCCCCTGCGCAGAACGTCGTGTTTTGATCGACAACTTTTGTCGAGCCCTCGCGGGATGAGTCCAAGCCGACCGTGCCGCTGACTAACATCTGTCAGCTGCGAGGTTCTTATCCGCGCCTCGTTGACATACGTTGCCTTGAGAAGGCAATGTTTTTGGATCAGCCCTCAAGTTTGGTCCTTTTGTATTTTTTATCCCACCCCGCGGTACATGTATGTACAAGGCGGCGGAACCTGATCCAATTGGCCAATTGGTTTTAGCGGTGCGGTGTCAATCGGGGCGGATCAAGTCGCTGGGTAGCGCCGTTGGTAGGCACCTTACCTGAGGTAGTTCCAAAAGGTCGCAAATAACATGAATCTCGGGGTAAATTCTCCTTTGAGGGCCCCCCTTCCAAATGACTTTTCGTGCTGTGCTTCCTGATCTCTAAGCCGGTTCATGCAAGTCATACTTTGCCCCCCTTCGGGGAGACCACGGCAGATGGGCGGATAAGCGGTGTGACACGGCGGGTAACTACACCCAGGTCCACCTCGATACTGCTCGAGGCCGGCACAGATTGGCCGAGTGCGAGGATTCGAGGAAGGGAGTGCAGGCCTAAGCTTCCCAATGGTGTGGGAGACTCGCGGGCAGGCGTCCAGGGGTCAAGTGCAGGCGATTCTGGCTCCGCTGTCTGCGCTGCTGTGGCGGTCGCTGTGCGAGCATTTTTATTAGTTCGGTTTGCTTGCTGCGGTTGGTGGGGGAATAGATTGCTTTCTGCAGCTTACCCCTCCATCCGCCTTTTGTTGGGGGCTGGAACTGGCCCCGAGGCGCGGGAACGAACATGGGTGGGATCTGCCTGCAAACAAGTCTGGCAGGGGAGCATCATTCTTTCCATCTTGGAGCGTCTGTGAAGGCCCGCCGCATGATTCCAGTCTCGAGGGCCATTCAAGCCTCTTTGTGTCGATATTAAGGATTAAGGCGTGCAGAATTAAGACAAGAGAATTTTCCGAAATGTCGCAAGGCATGATACGCCCAATCAACCATCGCCCTTTGAGGGCCTTCGAATCGCCCATGAGCTTCTCTCCAGTCCGCGTAGATACCTCGAGCTGGGATGGAGGTAACATGCTCGCTCGGTCAGCGACTGTCAGACTCGCTGGGCGCTTCTCTGGTGAAGCTTTGGTTGGTAGTGCTGCAACTCGCGAGGGATTATCTGCACGAGCGCCAATAAGACGAGGCATTTCGCGGAATTAACCACCACAGCCCAGGAGACCGGTGAAGAAACACACTGTCCAAACCGGGCCAAAAAAGGGAGCTGGCGAGGTTCACCCACACCCACACCCACACCCCACACCTACACCCCCAACACCCCGCGGTGTAACGAAAGCGAAGGCCAGGGTGGCCAGAGAGCCCAACGGCTTCTCTCGTCAGAAGACAGCCCCAAAGCCTCCCGCCTGCCGCTTTGTGCTTATATCGGAAGGCTTTCCCCTCCAGGATCACGACGATCTAGGCAAAACAGGTACGGTATGATCAAGCGCGGCGACTATTCCGCGCCGCCATTGCCAAAGGGCCTCCTTCCAGCTGCTGTTTAAAGAATAGGGGAGGGACGGATGGGCAAACGGAGAATTACACATTCGTTGGGCAGAGAAGCCGTTTGTGTCACCAACGACTGGGTACAGTAGCAGCTCACAACCAGATGGGAGGGCCACCAAGTTTCCGTGAACCATAACCTATCATCCAACCACAGCTCTGAGGGGGGGCTGCAGGCGCAGAGCGGCGTTCCTGGCCCGCTCGAGATCCTCCAAGGCACTTTTGCTAGCCTTGGCCCCCTCCCACCCGGCTAACTTAGCGTCATTGTTCTGACTGTGCAACACTGGGTTGATAATGGTTGGACCATGGAAGGCCGGGGCCAAAAAGTCAAGGCACGCACACAAGGATTTCAGGGGACTCGAGGTTGCCTAAGTCATAAAGTCGCAAAAAGTGCCCGTTTAAGAAATCCTATCACAGCTCCGGACATTGAATCGAAGGAAAGGAAAAGAAAAGCAGGAAGGAAACCCTTTCGGTAGTTAGGGCCAACTATTTCGGGGCTCCAGCACTTTCGGACCTTCGGATCTAACCCACCATAGGCCCACCCCCATGTCGCGCGGGTGGTCCATCCCATCGATTGAGAAGAGTGCGAATCCATGTTTGTTGCATTCGTCTCATGAATCCTAGCGCGCAATCCCGCAAAACCCGTCGTCTTGGGATCGATGGCGAAGTGGGCGTATGTGGACGGTAAAGAACTGGCGAAGGGGAAACGGGAAAAGAATGGGGGACTGCCCTGTTACGTAAATGCAAGGGCATTCAGGTGTGAACCAACATAATCATGCTTTCTTCGCATCAAACAAAAGAAAATGGGCGAATGAAAAGACAAAAAGTAAAGACGGTGAGAATAAAATTGCAGATAACGTTCTGAAAACCAAATAGATATAAAGAAGATGCGCCGGGTATCCCTTCAAATGCCGTTCGTCCCGTTCCACGTAGCCCTCTGTTTCTGGGGTTCCTCTGAAGGGCATAATACGGAAATTCTTAGAGTAGGGGGTTGATGAAGATTGTGAATTTCTTCAGCACCAAGTCCAACAGCAGAATCCCACCACTGTCCACACCCGCCATCAGAGTACAGCAGGTAAAATTCCTCAGCCCGAAATGGGAAACCTAAGGGTGAAAAGAGAAGAAACAACCACGCCATGTACCTGGGTGAGGAATCAAAACCTGGCCCACCCACCTGATCCCAAACCAACCATAAAAATGATTCCATCCGTACCTGCCGCCTATTTCCATTCCGTTCCTTTACGCCGAACGATCCCATCGCCTCCTAATAACCCATCCATCTAGCGGTGGTAAATGACCCTGTGGACAGAAAATAGGAAAAATAGGCGGAAACAATGACAAGAAAATTGGTCAAGGCAGGGAAGGGGGAAAAAAAGGGAGAAATACGGGGAACTGGAGAAAAGGAGAAAAAGAAAACATTGTGAAAGTCCCAGGCGAATAACAAGCTTAAAATTTTGGCTCCGCCCGCGGCAAGCTTTTGCGAAGATTTCGGTCTGCATTTTTCCCATATTCCTTCCCTATTCCCACACCAAGCTTGATCATAAATGCATCGCAAATTATAGGGTAGCGCCCTAGCTGGGTTGGTTAAATACGTGGCCGCAGAAAATTATGGAGCGAACTGTCGCTTGTTCTGCTCGTCGGATTTCGTCACGTCATGCTCATTGTCGAGGATGGGGGCGAGATCAAAGTTGGGTACTGTCCATTCGAGGTTGTCTTCCCTTCAAACCGACCACATCTCTGATAGTACGGCCCATTTTGGTACAGAATGCTGGGAAGCGCGGTGTCCATCTCGGATTTGACCTTGGTTGGGTCGAAGGTGGTACTCATCGAGTTTGTCGGGCCGCTTCCGGAAACATCGTGACGGGGGTGGGAGAACAGTTCAACTTGCTGGTGGTGCCTTGTGTCTTGATCGCCTTCGTAGATTGTCGATGGATAATACTGGTAACCCTTCGGATCCGTGATGGCTCTCACCTCCTCAGGCGAGATCGTCGGTTCCAGCGTCATCTCATGATGTCGAGTTCCACCGTAGCCACCGGAACGGGTGTCATAGTGCTGCGAATAGCTTCCTGCCCCCACCATGGATGAAGTCGAGTATTCGCCAGGGCCCAAAATATTGGTCGAGTATTGACCGCCGCCCATGTTGCCACCGGAGCCCCCGGGACCACTGCTCGTGCTCGGCCGCCTCTCCGATTGGTAATGGCCAGGGGAGCGCCCGCGAACAATCATCTTGGCCGACTTCCGGTACGCGACCTTGACCCACTGGTCACTTGCCTGCTGGCCAACGTCGGCCCACAACTCGACGATAAGATGGTAATATTGCTGTGCCGCCCTTCTCTTCCCATTGTTGGCCGTTGCTTGCTTGAATTGGATGCGTTCGAAAGTGTGTTCGGTGGGTGCTGAGCTTTGCTGGGCTTGTCCAAAGCCCTGGTCGTATCTCGACGATCCAAGGCTCCCGTCTGGGCCAGCATAGAGGCTCGAAAGCGGGTGGTGGCTAGACTGCGGTGGTTTTGCCGAGAGCCGCGTCTTCTCGGGTTTGGCGGTCGGTCCTTTGTCCCGCTTGGGAGTATGCTGGACAAGTTCGATGGTGTGGCTATCGTTGTCCGATACAACTGCAGAGATGCACATGGCGAACCCGAAAACGGTGTATGCTTGCGAGGATCCAGTCTGGAGGAAGTGGATGGGCGAGTTGTGCATCGTGGGCGTCAGTGAGAACGAGCAGACGCAGGAAAAGTAGTTACGGCGATAGCACGTCCACTCGCTGTCGGCCATAAAGAAGCCCTTGTCGATCGCGCCGTTGATTTCCACCTTGATAGGGGTTGCTGATGCGTCGCCATAGGAAAGGTGACCGAGGGAGGTCATGGTGACTAGAGGAGGCATGCTTGGCTGGGATTTGGAGCTAGGGTAGCCCGTATCCATCTTGAGAGCCCCGTAGGCGGTCGACGCACTCGTTGGGGAGAGGGCGCTGTGGCGCCGGATACTCGAAAAGGGTGGCGACCGTTGAATGTGGTGATCCGGCCGTCTGAAGGATGGTGTCGCAGGCGCGTATGCCTCTCTCGCGCTGAGGTGCGTTCCTGGGTGTGGAAGCGTTGTGGACCGGTGAGCATGTGCCATGCCCTGGCCAGCCGTGTTACTGCTGCTGCTGTAAGCGACCGAGGAAAATAAGTGCGCCATGGGACAGGCGGATCATAACGACAAGATAATAGCGTGTCACGTACTTGGACCCCAGTCGAGGCCTGACGTCCAGGCCGGGAAAGACGGGGGGAGCGGGGTTATAATAGTGGCCAGTGTCAGGAGAGTACGGCGTGACTGGCGGCTGAGGGACCGGTGAAATCAGGCCCAGGTATGAAGGCTGCGCTGGTGTTTCTATTGTCGATAGGGAAGTTGTGGAGCCCTGAGTAAAACTGTAGGTGCATCCGGGTCAGAAACCGGCCACGCTCCAGTGCCATGCACGGGATGGGGGGCGCGGGGAGCGGGGGAGAAGAAAAACGAATTAGGTGGGTGGGTGGGAGAGTAAGGGGGGGTGGGTGGACGTGGATGGAAGACTCCATCACACGCCCCCCCAGGGGTCGACAACCGTCTTGGTTCCGGTTGGCCCTTGTGCAACTTGAATGCTGGCGGTAGGACAGAGCCCGTCATACCACACACAAGAAGTGTTTTGCAGGGGTCTCGCTCCCAGCCCTCTGACCAGCGATCGGAAGAACGAGGATGGCGCATGCGGCAACGACGCGGGAACCAGGTGCGGAGCGATCGATTTCACGGTAACACGTACCACAGCCGGAGCGAATATCCATGTCTCACTCACTCGCTGCTGCGCTTAACAAATTGAAAATGAGGATGCCAGCAGTCGCAGGCAGTGCACTTGCACACGGCCAAGGCTAGGGAAGTAAGTTACCTAGGAAATTGTCGGCACTTGTCCGGCGGGATGTTGCTGTGTATGGGCCTTGAAGAGGTAAGAAACGGGAGCTCAAACGCGCGACACACCAGACTGCCCCGTGGCGGATCGGGGCTTTAACGGCACATGCATCCAGAAAATCTCGGCTCTTGACGGGAAAGCCCGTGGCCGGGGACGAAGAAAATGGGATTGCACTTCAGTGGGAAGCCAGGGGCGAAGGTAAAAGTGAATGAACCGGACTTTGATCCCCAGAGCATTTTCGTAGAGGGTTTACCAAAGTGGTAATGAGAAGAAGTATTGGCAAGGGGGAAAATGAGTACGTACCACATGTCAGTCGGAGCTGATATCTCGAGATAGTCCAACCCGTTGCCAGAGGGCGGCGAGGGCTCGACGAAGTCCTGCTGGAAACACACCTGTTAGATCAATCATCTCATTTTTGTTGGACCCTCTTTAGAAACAAGTACGAGGCCTCCAGGCTGCAGAACAAGGAGACCAGGCTGGATTCGCCGGGCCTTGAAAACAAAGATCGGTCCTGTTGCCGCTGCCGCGCAGTCGATTGCTGCTATTGCCTCTCCTGGGTGTATGTCTCAATGGCTAGATGGAAACCTGGCTGAGGGCATGTCGAACAACCGCTGTGTCCCTGGTAGTGAAAAACCGGCGAGCGAAATTTGTCAATAGAAGACCTGTGGCGCAAGTCAGCGCAGTCTGCGGGTTAGGGAGTAAGTGACCAACAAACGGTTCGGATTGGAGCCAAGGGCAGGAGGAAAGCGCGTTCGAAAATGGCTGGTAGGGCGAGATGAACCCAAAGATAAACAAAAAGAAAAGTAACGAAAAGAGGACGTGACTGAACCGATAAGCTGGTATCTAGAAAGACCAGGTCGATTTTCTTGAGGGTGTAAGCAGTGGGGAGGGAGTGTTGGAGAAGCGGAAAATCGAAAGTGATGTTTGCTCGGCTGATGCCGCCCTGCTGTTGCCTCTGGCGGACCTCGCTAAGGAACAAGGCTCGCTTCGGGAGGTCAACGTCTTGAGGGATTACAGCAGCATCAACGCCAGAAAGTTTTTCGGGGACGAGAGGGGATTAGGAGGCTCAACGGGCAGGAGGGCGTGTTCCCGAAGGTGCGTAGGAAGGGAATTGGAAAGGAAAGGAAGCAGGCAGGGCCGGTACAACGAGGTACTGCTGCAGCTGCAGGGGGGGTACATGCCATTCTGAGCCGACCTTGATGCGCGGCCCAGAAGCAAGCATCGCCATTCACAGGGACAGCAGCAAGGTTCTGCAGGAAGCGCCTCACAGCCGGGATGCGACCGTGACCTCGTGGAGGTGCCTTCAACGGCGCGCTCTTCCTTTGTTAGCCAGCTGTCCGTGAGTCTTTTCCCCGGCTTTATCACTTTCGCTGTGATTCGCCATGTTCGAGGAATAAATGGCAAAACTGGGGAGGAACGGCGAAGGCCCTCGCAGCCGTATTGCCAGAGAAGAATTTGTTGGAAATCAGAATGCAGGAGAGCCCCCCTGGCGGCAGACCATGGCCAGGCTGCATACAAAAAGAAGTCAATGTGTTAGACCCAGAAGCGCCAAGGCCCAGCTGACTGGTGGGTGAAAAGAAAGAAGAAAAGGAAGGAAAACAAGCAAGGGGTATATACAAAAAGACAAGATATCCATCCACCGCCTTCGCGGTGGAGATTCGAGGTCTTCGGAATATTGGCGGGGGGTGAGAGATTGGGGGGGCAAGAGGAAGGAGCGAAGGGTGTGTGGCGCCTGCACCTGGTCTCTTCCGCAACAAGTCGGGCAGGAGCAAAGACATAGAGGAATACAATCAGATGGGCTAAAACAGAGAGAAATGGCACAGACCCTGGCTTTCAAAACTGCTGTGTTGTTAACTTACCTTGATACTACGTCCCCCCCCCTCTCCCCCCCAACCCAAACTTCCATAAGGCGTGAATCGTGTTGTCGAGCGGTTAACCCCAGCTAGCCGGCTGTTGTGATGCGATGCGAAGCTGCAGAATCCGGACATCTACACGGTTTTCCCGGAGAATGGAATGGCGTGGTCCGGGAGCGCTCGCCGTTGGCCTCGACGCAAATGCACATGTGAAGTAGAGAGGATGGGGTTAGCAAATACCTTGGGGAGTTGATGATTCATGCGCTGTTCCTCTGCCCCAAGTGGGAGCGAGGAGTCGCGGTGAGCGACAAAGTATTTAAATGCCCTCCGTGTCTATGAGAGGAGGCAAGCGTTAGCCCAAACACCCCTGTGTGTGCATCCATGGTCAAGATATTCTAGCAGAGGAGCTTGTTTTGGGAGCTTGCTCCGGTCCTTGATCGAGGACGGGCTGCGGCCCCCATGAGGGACAGCTGGACCGGGCGTTCGGAGGGCGACGCGGAATCCGGGCGGGATTGGGCGGGTGAACGAGGCCCGGGGGCCTTGCAGAGAAGGACCCCAGGCATATCAGGGAATTCGCGTTGGTCTCTCTGTCCCAAACGGCCCGAGTTGCAGACCCGGGGGTGGAGTGCTTCGTGGCTAGGATTGGTTCACTGACCTCTTGCAGGACCCCGGTCACACGGGCAAGAATTCAACACCCAACTGGTCGGTGGTCAGGGGTTTGTTTTTTTTTGTTCGTCTGGCAAACCAAAGCATATGAATTAGCAAACGGGTTCGAAATTCGCTTCTCTTGAGAAATACTTCAATACCGAAAAAGACATATTGAGGGGAGAACATCGACTTTCTAAACAGTATATATGCATGTTGCTGAGAGAGGGGTGGGGAAAGGGGGGTAAACGAGGAAGTAGCGAAAGGGTGTCAAATGAATGGGAGGAAGGCGTGGGACGGAAGGTGCGAAGCCCAACACTCGAATATTCCTTTGTTGCAGTGCATCTTCGCCCCCCCGGTCCTGGGCTGGTATCCGCCTCTTCCGGATCAGGTTGAACCGAAAGGCGATCATCCTCGACGGGAAAGGCTCTGTTTTCGTGACTCTCGGGACCGGTACCCGGGTCTTCGGAGGGGGTCATCCTGTCGTAAAACCAATCTTCCGCCCTCATAACCAAGATTGTGCCCGCAAAGTCGGGACGACATAATGGATAATGCAAAAGGGATGAAGACGGGGGATCATTCCGCTTACCTCAGTAAAGATTTTTGATCAGGTTTTCCAAGAGGAGCCCGGTTTGCGACTGGGCCAACAATACTTACGCCGGGTACGAGGCCCGAGGCGGTTCTTTATTGGTCTATTCCGGTGGCTGTGAGGTCTTCTGTTGCTGTGGGTGCTTCCCGCGTTTGCGAAGCTCACGGTAGCGGAGGCAACGGTCGGCCTTGGTCGTTGATTTGGAGGTTGGAGGCTAGAATAATGTTTTGGGTGATGATGTTTTCGATAATGGGGTCGGTCGCTTTAAAGGTGGTTTTTGGGGGTGATCGTACGGAGAGAAAGCGCTCCACACAGACCGACGAATACAGGACGCGTAGTACCACGGCTCAGGGGGTCCCTCTAGCCTATTTGGATAAGCGCAGGGTCTTCAAGTAGGTACTAGGTCCAGAACCTCTATGAAGAAGGATAACGAGGTGGCCCTTGGGTGTCTGTGTCTTCTTAAGGCTGGTGTCAAACATGTGAGGTAGTGCAGGGTTTGAAACAACAGTGAAGAGAGGTAGAGTGGGAGGAGCGGGAAGGCGCCTGGTCTTCTTAAGTAACAAAATCTCTATGCAACAACTTTGATACCCCCAGGAAGCAAGGGGCCCGTAGAACTAGGCCGCCTCGCTCCCAGCGTAATGGTTCGATGTCCGTCGATGTGTGGACGAGTAAACTCCCCTTGGCGAAGAATCGGGCAAAGGACCGCACTGGGCAGTCAAAGCAAGAAGCCGCCGAAGTTACAGGCCACTAGATTCGTGCGGTCGTAATGCTCGGTGCCTCTTTCAAACAACCCCGGACCTCGCTGCAGATACGTCTTGCGTCAGGGGCCTCCGAACTTTAGGACGGACAAGCCGGCACCAGTTTGCCGGTACGTTTGTCTTTTTCCTCGGGGGGGAATACATGACTATCACCGCAAAGTTACCAAATTTACTTGACCCGGCTCCCGACACACAGTGTCAAAATTATTTCCACTATGGCAATATGGTAGCTGGCCCCCAAGTTTCCAAACAGAACTTAGACTAATGTTGGCTGACTTCTTCGTTTTTCTGCATTAGCTTTCTGCAAGCGTCCTATGGACCTCATAGCTCCTTAGCAACAAGTGGCAAACATTATGTTTTGATAGTAAAGACCAATACGCTCGGCCCTAGGACTATCCATCGCCGGCTGGTTGCAGGTAGACCGCGGGCCCTAGTAAAGATGACTCTCGTGACAACTGCCCGTCTTCCTCTTCTTTACCCCCCTGCCGTGAGAGTATTATTGCTTGAGAAGGGAAAAAGGAAAAGGGGGTGAGATGAGGAAACAAATGGTGCCCGCCAGGGACTGCGGGTCGCTGCCACGCCTGGCTTTCAGAAAGGAGGCTTTTGGGAATGGTTGGACCGATCCGCCTCCCGTGACGATCGCGGGGGGGGAACGAAGCTGAGCGTTTGGTTTGGCGCTCCTGTACCTTTCGGTCCTATAGAACTAGCATCGTCGGCAACGGCCGACAAAGCCATGCAGCGAAACAAGAGACAAGCCATCCGGCATTTGTCCGACTCGAGGGCGCGGGTTCTCTACCCGACACGTGAAAAGGGACACAGGCTAGCCATTATCGGCAGAGGGCCTGAGTGTTTTCATGACACGGTACCCTTTTCGGATCACGGAGGCATTAAAGGACCCAGCAATCGACGAGGGATCTCTGAGGAGGACGGCGGTTGCCGGCGCGGATGATCGGTGAGCGGGGTTCCAAGTACCGACGCAGCCCCGAGTGATGCGCAGAGAGTGCCTGCCCCGCTCACAAAACGCAAGAGCGTG